CTGGGGTTGTTTAGTCTGGAGAAGAGGAGGCTGAGGGGAGACCTTATCGCCCTCTACAACTGCCTGACAGGAGGTCTCTCCTCCCTGGTAACGGGCAATAGGACAAGGGGAAATGGTCTGAAGTTGCATCAGGGCAGGTTTAGGTTGGACATTAGGAAAATTTTTTTCACCGCAAGGGTTGTTAAACATTGGAATGGGCTGCCCAGGGAAGTGGTCGAGTCCCCATCCCTGGAGGTATTTAAAAGATGGGTAGACGAGGTGCTTAGGGACATGGTTTAGTGGTGGGATGGCAGGGTTAGGTTAACAGTTGGACTTGACGATCTTAAAGGTCTTTTCCAAACTAAACAATTCTATGATTCCATTCTATGATTACAGTGTAAGTGGGGATATCCATCCACACTGGTGATACTGCCTTCTTGGAAGACACTTTTTAGCAATGATACCTGAACCAACTCTTACTGTTGCCAAACAGTGCTCTTGTCATACTCCTTGTTGTCTTTCCACTTCAAGGCATGCAATGTTTCTTTCCTAACTTCTCTCATGGATCTATTCCAGACAGTTTTGTTCTGGCTTAGCAAAGGGGATGTGAGTTTGGACTATGAATCCTGAGCAAATCCATGACTAATTTAAGTTAAATTCCATAACTAGCCTCTGGAAAATAGAGATGCATAGAATCATAGAATCATTTGGGTTGGAAGGGGCCTTTAAGACCATCAAGTCCAACCGTTAACCTAACACTGCCAAGTTACCACTAAACCGTGTCCCTAAAAATGTATGTACCATGTTGTCAGTGAGTTGTTTCTAGAATAAAAGCAAGCCATTCCCACTGGAATATTTGTGTTTTAATTTGTCTGTGAGATCAAGATGAGGCCTATGTGATCACATTAGGGAAAATTGTTTCCAGGACTGTTAAGCAGGATAAGTTAATAAGCAGCGTTAATGATTTCTCTTGCAGGTATGCTGGAATTCTCCTTGGGATCACAAATTCTTTTGCTACTATCCCAGGAATGGTGGGGCCAGTTATTGCCAAGAACCTCACTCATAATGTAAGACTGCGTACTATTTTGTCAGTTGTTACTTTTTGTCTCCATTGAATTGAAATTCTGTCTTCTCAAGTTTGCAGTCATTGAATGAAATCTGAGTTACATATATAACTTGTACTGTTCCATTGCTGTGAATTACATAATTCCTAACCTCTATTATTCTGATTCTGACTGGGAAAATAAAGGTAAAATCAAAGACCTGTGTAGGACTTGAAAATTTTAGTTACTCACCCTTATATTAGTTTCTCACGTGAAGTGTTGATTTGTAAGGTCAGCATTTGTCAGATGAGTGAGAAACTAGATTCAAATGTGTGAGTTTTATAATGCATCCCTTTGTGTGTACATTACAGGATTAGGACATTCTAAGCTGTGTTAGTTTCACAAGACCCCGAACTTGAACAGTGTTAAATTTGACTTGCAAGATAGTTTAGTCAGAGGGTGATTTGAAGTAGAGAAAAGGGGTAAGAGTTGTGGGGGTTTTTTTATATCAACTATATGAACTATTCTAAAATCTCTTAAGAAAGAAAGATGGGAAGAGTAAGTTTGTTGATACAGTTGAATTTTTGGAGTTAGTCATCACTCCAATGATTTCCTTACAAAGAATATGAAAATATTCATGAATACATGAATCCAAACAAATTAGTTCTTCCAGACATCTTAAAAAGTGGGGTGGTTTTTTTTTATTGGTTTGGGGTTTTTTTTCCCCCCCATACTAAATGTAGTGTTCTGGTATTATTCTGGTTTTTGCAGTAAAATAATTTACAGGTTTGTTACAGTAGTCATCTGGAACTTAAAAAAAAACAAAAAAACCAAAAAAACCCCAAACCTTAAGACATCTACAGATATTACTTCTTTATTTGAAAAGAAAAGAAGAAAAAAAAAAAACAAACCCAAACATACCATAGTTCTTTGCTACCCATGTTTTAAGGCCTTTCACAAATACCAGAGTTTAGGGGATTCCTCTTGAAATCTGAGTAAAGATAGCTACCTTGTTTGGGCTAAAAAGCTTATGATTCTGGAATATCCACATAACAGTCATTAAGAATAGCTTACTGCATAGTGCAGAACACTTCAGCTCTTGGATCACCTGACTTGAAAGCAAGATAGTGTTTTCCTTTGCAGTAACATTCTCTGTGCATTTGTGTAGCCTTCATGCAAATATGAATTTTGATATGAAGGTTCTGCATCTCAGATGATACAATGATCCAGATAGTCTAATGCAATTCTGATAGGACTGTGTAAGCTGTATTAGTAAACTCAAGTTGACTGTGCTGTTGATTTGATCTTTTGTGTTTATAATGCTTTTATGTTGCTATGAAATTATGCTGAATAGCATTTACATTTAAATAGGCAAGACATGTAGCATCATTTTTAAAATTACTTTTTCTTGAGTGTGGAGCTGCAAATTGACTGCATTTTTTTTTCTTCTTTTGACAGAATACTGTGGGAGAATGGCAGACTGTTTTCTATATTGCTGCTTCTATTAATCTATTTGGAGCAATTTTCTTTGCATTATTTGCAAGTGGAGAAGTTCAGGACTGGGCAGTCAGTGGATATCACTTGCATAGAAATTGAAGGAGATGTTGAAATACCAAAGCTGTGCTGAATCCCCATGTGCTAGAATTCTGTGACCAGAAAAGTGCCTTCCCTACTGATGCCTAGGAGTCTTCAGAGCTTTTCAGTTAAACTATTTTATCTGTATATCTTTTGTACTGAAAGTCATTTGACAGCATATGTGTGCTATTTCCTAGCAAGAAACTACTTGGATTAAATAGAATAGTTTCATGCTAGGACTTGATATCAAATATATGATCAGAGACAACATTTTAAATCGTTGTGCTAGGCTCCAACTCTTTCCAGTTTTTAATTAATATTTTCTGAATTAATGTGTAGGCAGATGTTTGTTGATACTGAAATGAGAGGAAAAAGCAAAGTGATTATGTAGCACTGTAAGGAGGAACGGCATGTGAAGAATTGTACCCAAAAAAGTGTTTTGATTTCCATGATGAGATTGATAGGTGTTTTGCTGTTTAAAAGTCTAGAATAGCTCTAGTTTTCTACAATCTTTTATAATGCTTTTATTTTGTCAGTGTTTTAATTGTCTAAGAAATGCACACAATTTTATTCTATTTTACGCACAAATTTTCGATATCTGAACATTCCCAGTTTCATTAATACAGTTTCACAACTGATGCAGCGCAATGAGGAAGTGAAATATACCATTGTGACTGACAGAATAAGCCATGTGTTACTGTTCTGTGGTGCAGGTTTTTTAAATAGGCCTTATTCATCTGTGCAAAGAAGAAGCAGTGCAACTCTGTGGTTTAAATCTAGGCAGTGTGCAGGAGTGAGCTAGAAATAGAATATCTGCATGCTTACCTTAAAATAACTTTCAGTTTGTCAGTTCATTTTTTTGTGTCTTTAAATCAATGCAGTGGAATTATTTCCTCTTGCGTGTATATATATTTGTTAGCTTGTCAGTGTAAATGCAATAAAATAAGGCCAGTGTAGGAAATAATGAGGAAAGTCAGTTCTCTAACAGCCTTGTTTGTTAGTCACATAAAAGTAGAGTAAAAAAGAACTAGTGCAATAACCTGAAACCTGTCAACATAGAATCTGACACTCCAGAGCATCCTTTGCACAACATGCAATTAAATGCCACACAGAAGGATTAAATGAAGTCTATGAAACAGTGGCCTTTTAAAAACAAATGGCTGAATAATCCTGTAGTCACAATGCAAAGGAAAATTCCTGTGCCAAAGATTCCTGGATTGGAGCAATTGGGTAAAAAAGAAAAATCACTGGGCTCTGGGTTTTTCATTTACCACCAATCCAAAAGAAAAGCCCAGTACTAAAGCTGCTCCAGTGGAGCCTACCTTCCTTCATTTCTAGGAAATGGCATCTGCCTCCTCTTTTTAGCTTTAAGAGCCATTTTGTTTTGACCTTCCTTGAAGTGTCATGTTCTCTGGTGGAACTGTGTTTAAATCTGTGTTTGTGTCTGCAGCGTTTCCACAATAAACAGTGTGAAGTTCAGATTAAATTAGTAGTTGTTCAGTGGGAGTATGTTAAAGTTATATTATGTCTTCAGTGTTTCCACAATAAATGGAATTAATATTTACATGTGCATCTGTTGTTGAAAATTACTATCTCCCTGAAGTTAGAACACCATTCTCAAAGTATGCTAAACAAGATTGGTGACTGGATTAAGGGATGGTTAATATTTCCCTGGAAAATTACCTGCTTCAGAAGTTTCTTGTCTAGCTTTACAGGTGAGTACTATCTTCCACCTGACACTGTATTAAAAGGATTAATTTCACTTTGTGTTTATGGAAATTTGTACTCTTTCAGTAGCCTTGGTTAAAAAGGAGGAAAAAAAACCCAACCCATTTTTGGATATAGTTTAAATTAGTTTATGCCTTTGCTTTTCTAGAGATCATGAGCAGGACAACATATGGACAGGATTGCTATTTCACCTGTTCTGAAGTTGAAAACTTCAGCTTCCCATGCTTTTTTAGTCTTTTTCCTTGAAAACAGTTCAGTTGAATATAAAAATTAAAAAATAGATACTTAAGGGAGTAGGTGCAGTAGAAGTGAATGTAGACATTCTCTATCACTGAAATGAGCCTGAACTGGATTCAGTTAAAACTGAATCAATTTTAGGCATATCAACAACTGAGCTGTCTAGATGTTTTTGACCAGCATACTAGAATTTTTGTTTTCTCCTCATCTAATGCACCACTAATACTCATTTTGTACACTATGTGACTTTTAAGTGAGCTTGGAAAGTGGGTCTGAAAATATTCCTATAAATCTTTATATTATTTCTAGGCAACAGGCTATAATTAGCCTAGTAGTACATAACTATCAAAGTATCAAAACATAGGATGGGACTCTTGCTCTCAATTCAGTGAGGCTCTTAACAGGAAACAAACAAAAACCCAATCACTTAAGTTTTACCTTTCTGCATCATGCTTACAAGAAAGAAAATCTGTAGGAAAAAGCTGTTAAATATTTTCTGCAAATCACGATACTGTTTCTATTACATTGCCATGTTTCTGTTTGCACAGCTCTTTCAGCCAGTTCATCTGCTCAGAAACATTTCTCATATTCTGTGTTTTCAGAATTAACAAGGGTTTTGAGTACCTCTCAGCTCAGTTCACCTGTGACACAGGATCTTGACAGAAATTGGACAGGTTTTTTGTGGTGACCGTTTTCCTGAAACAATCCTGTAATTGTTATTTTTTGCTGTATTTCCTTAACAGGTATACCAGAGTAAGAAGTTGTGCTCTCTGTTCCATCAAGAACCCTCTAGTTAGGATGTGCACCTGGAATGAGGAAAGTTGGTTCAAAACCAGATTTCACCCATTTTGCAGCAGGCGCTGAACCGACGATTTGCATGTCTTAGTGTTGCCAGGTATTTTTAAGTGCATTCTCCTCAATGTCTCCTTCTGACACAGTTCTGCTTAAGTATTTTTTGGAACACTTAGTGCAAAGTTCTTCCAGTGTTAGTAACAGAGATGGAATAACTCTTTGCAGAATATCCTACAGCATGTGACATGGGTATTGACCTGAGATCTGAACCGCAGTCTTTTACAGACTGGAGAAGTGCCTTCATCAAGCTTTTCAAAAGAGGAAAGGCTGCAAAGTAATGGGTGTGTTTTTTCAATTCACTGTTTCTTTGCTCCAAGGGTACCAACTGTCAGTCATGCACCTTAAAGAAGTCTGAAGTATTTGACACCCAAAAATATGACTTATGTAGGCTTTTTAATGCTAAACCAGTGAAGGTTTATATAACTCTCTGTAAGGCATAGGCACCTGTACACGGTGCTTCCCCATCTACATGTTCCTCTGTAACTGGTAATGACTGTATTTGCTATGTGAAAGGGTCATCTTAGTTAATTTCCCAGAAGTTGAATTGTTCCTGTGATATATTTTTTTTTCTGGCTTTTCTCAATAACTTACTCACTTATTTGCCAATTTCTCTTCTTCTACTTTCTGGGAATGTTTGATTTCATGATAAATGAACTAAACTTTGAGTTTAACAGGTCTTCCAATGTTTTCAGCATTTGCCAGGATGGAAAGCTGTGGGTGAGGAAGCCTACACATTATGAAGATGAGCAAGACAAAGTTTGTACAGAAAGGTAGTGTCTTCTGTTAGATCACTTTGAGCATCTGGGAAAGAGAGACATGTTTTTAAACTTCAGACCTCCTCTTTTTCATTGAGCTCAACCATCACAACTACAACACTGCTATTGTGTTTTGTAAGCTGTTACAGTGAGTAGCATCGTAAGAGGGTCTTCCATTTCTCCTGTGTGCCTCTATCTCAAAAAGCCAAATGTCTATTCTTAAGTCACATGATTTAAGAGCAATCAAATAAAACAAAATTAATCAAAATGATTCTCACTCAAACAGTTGTTGGCTGGCCAAATCCTTTTCTGAGACCTGTCAGTAAAGACACTGTCTCTATTAGTACGAGGACACTGGCCTGAGTTGTTATACTGAAGAGGCTATGTCTGACTTGAAGCTAAGGGAAGGCTATAATTTTACATGAATGATTTGGTATTAATACATTTTGCTATTACCATGCCTACTGGGAGGAAACCACCACACAGTAGTGTATTGACCAACAGTGAAGTAGATAATCCTGGAGAATATACAGAGGATATGCGGATAAGTATTTAAAGAGAAGTTTGTTAGCCTCATGTTGGTGTCTTTTCTATGAAGAAATATAATGAGCCATTTTTTAAAAATCCATTTGTTTAATCTAACAAATCAGACTGTGCTAGAGTCAACTTAAAGCTTTGCTGATTTCCCGACTTTATGCTTCACTCATAAAAGTTACTACTATTTCTACAATTCTGTATCTAATGGCCTATATGTTTATAATGCTGAAAAAGAGCTTAAGAAAGGGTTCATTTATTTACACTTTATGTGGTGGTGTATATAGTCTGTTGCAGAAGTAATTCTTGCCATGTTTAATACAAGAGTAACATGGTGAGTTATATTTATTTGAATATATATAATCCAGCAGAGTTGCCTGTAGCCCCAGTAACTGTTTTATGTCAGGATGTTAGTTATTAACATTTTGTAAGATACAAATAGGCAAAAAAAGAACTGCAAGAAGATATCAGCAGTTATTTAAACCCTAGCAAATGGGGGGGTGGGGGAAGGCACACGCAAAGGCATGCCAAGAGATAAATTGCTACCTTACGTGAGAAACTGGAGACCCTCCTAATTAAATCACCATTGTGATCTTTCTACTTCCTGTCCTTCATAAAGCTGCCAAAATGGAGGTCATACATTTTAAACTAAAACTGCATCTATGTGATTCAAATCCTTGACATAGAAATCAGGTTTTTTATTGTGTGTAAAAACATTGATCTGACTTAACATAACACTTGGTAATTTCTAAGAAGCTCCAATACGCATCTGGCCAATGTAGCTCTCAAAAGTCATTACTCGGTCCGATGAAAACTGCATTTCTTTGAGAAAATTTATTTCCATGTGAAATGTTAATTGTTTGGCCTTATCAGTTAAGCAGTGCTGTCCTAAAAGAGTTGCACGTGGTTATTTTTTGAGAAGTAATTTTCCTTATTCTGTGTAAGCTCCAAAAATGCTGATTTGATTTTTGCTTCTCAGAAGCATACTTAATGAGATTACACATTGGCAGAGTTCAGGCCTGGATCAGACACAAAACACGAAAACTCAGGTAGTGGGGTAATTAAAAAGAAGGTTCAGGTACTGATGTGCATTTTCAAGTGAATGCAGATTAACTTTAGAATTAATGGTAACTTTGCTCTTATTGCAACATAACCTGTACAAGGTTGCAACACACAGCAAGAGAGGGTGCCTGGGAGTTGCCCAAGGCATAGCAATAGAAAGAAAGTGTGGCTTATTAAGCCAAAATTCTGTTTGCTATCCCCTCCCTTTAAAAGATAGCCGTTTGCTACAGACTAGAGCCAAGTGAAGAGTGGTAATAGCCTTTTATAAAATGTTCTTGGAAGGAAATCTCATGAAAGGAATTCTTAAAATCTTTTTTAGTATACAGAAGTTTCCATATGGCTGCTTCAGAATAGGAAATGAATATATTACTTTTTCCTGATCTTTTCCTAAATTAAATCCCATTGTAGACATTTAATAAGCTTAGCTCAGCCAGAGTTGGATATTGTTGTGTTTTCTGATGGCAAACATGGTTCTATGGATGTTTCTCTGACTGCCTCTTCTGCTGAAGCATTCTAGCAGTAAATGACTAATCTTATATTTCTGAATTATCTTGCTAGCTGAGAAGACTTAATAGATAAGGAACCAGAAGGTTTGTTTGGTTTTGACTGGGGGGGGGGGGGGGGGGGGGGGGGGAAAAAAAAAAAAAACCAAAAAAAACCCCCAACAAAAAACCCCACCTGGAAAACAAGAAGCAACAAGTGCCTTCTGTATCTACAAGTCTAAACAGCCTCTGCTGAAGGGGGAAAAAAAAAGTGTTTCCCCTGTATTCATTAGAAGGAAATTAAGCAACAACTGATAATCTGTAAGCACAAGTTAGGGAAAATGCAATATTCTAAAAATTGCAGGTAGTTTTTGTGATAATGTGATAACATAAGGAGAATCATGGCTGTGGCCATCTTTAAAAGGAAACTGAAATGGGGTGTATTTTGCAGCTCAATTTAAGACTGACACTGCCTGACAATGTTTGAGGCATCTGGACAGTGTCCTTAATAATTTGCTTTAACTTTTGGTCAGCCCTGAAGTGTTCAGGCAGTTGGACCAGATGATCATTGTAGGTTCCTCCCAACTGAAATATTCTAATCTAAGACCACTGAACATTAAGCTATCCTATCTAATGCTATCCTTTAAACAAAAACACTTCAACTGCCTTTTGCATGAAGGGTGGCGGGAGGGGGGTTGTAAAAAAGAGAGGAGGGCATTTCCTTTAGTAACACCCAAAAATGTCTTTCCTCTGAATGATCTTAAACTGTTTGGATGTACAAAATGTCTCTAGGCAAAATTTGGTTTTGACTTGACTGACTTAACGATGCTTTCAAATTTGCATGCTATGCATGGTCAGTGCATCTTGCCTGGTTGTTTTGTTCAGCTGGGAAAGTACACAGTAACTTTAAGAGAAGGGGAGGGTGATTTTTTTCTACTATCTAGTAGAAAGGAGTATTAATGTGTTGCTCTGCTCAGATAGGATGGAGAATAAAGCCCATAGCAATTATAGAGGAATTTAATTATTTGCCACAGTCTGATTTGCCATCAGGTCTCTGTCATTACCTTCATCATAACTGGCATTCATTTTGCACAGTCAAGCACTGCTCTGGCAGACAGCAGGCCTGATTAAAGGTCTGAGACTGAAGTTGAAGGGGTTTTTAAAATATCCATAATTGGATAACTGGTTCAACTGTAAGTTGAACTATAAATTCATTTGCAATGGCTATGGAAAGGCTTAATTTCTCGTCTGGAATGTTGTTTAGTTAGTGCAGTCTTTGTCTTTTTTTCTTTCGGATTTAGAGATGTGCCCATGTTTTGGAATCTACTTCCAATGCAGTTACTTAAGTTAATACTTTCTGCTATGGAAATAGCTTCTGCTTAAGCTTAAAAGCCCTTGTGTGGACAGAATGAGAAATCAAGATATTTGAATTGTTAATACATAGCTGGTAGAATTGCTAAGCATCTCTGCGTGGTTTTGAAAGTAGAGAAGGATCACATTGTGGAAGAATATTCACACAGGGATAGGGGTGTTAATTTAACATCTCTCTGTAGAGTCATGTAGATGCCAATGGTTAAACAGCTACTGAGCACTAAGCATCTGATAAAGTATTTTGCTGTAGTATGACCTAAAGCCTAACCTGCAAAGGAGATGGCATATGGCAAAGCTGTGTTGTCATATGTAACATGTGCAGTACATGTTGCCAGGAACAGAACCCACAGTTCTCTGTCACAGGCCTAAACTCTCCCTCCCATGGGAGAAGTGGACTTGGATGCCTGCAGGCAGAGGGTGGAAATCAGCTTCATTCCCCCTTCTATCACAGAAGTGGGGGGAGGTGTTAAATTAAATAATCAGCACTTACTCCCTGTTTTAAGAGAAAACGGACAGCTTTTTTTTGCAAACAGCCCACCTCATCAGCCCTCTCATCCTCAAGAGCTGAGAACAAGGACTGCATAATGTTTGTAGAGCTGTGAAAGGTTTAGAAAAGAAAACAAGGGTACCAATCAGCTGTGTATCAAAGGTCTGTGTAGCTGCCTGCATGCAGCCAGCACCTTTAATGTAAAAAGGGACATGTGTGGGCAGAACAGTCGCTAGAACTGGGCAGCAGCTGAGGTTTTGACTACCCCAGTCAACTTGCATGCAAAATGTGTTCACTCAAGCTTAGATGTAATAGATATCTGTAACTTTGCATGTATTGCTACATTCTTGGGATTCAAATTATCCCTTCTTACTCAAACAGGCTGTGAAAATCAATCCACAGCAGTCTTCTGCAATCAGTCTAAGAACACACTAAAATCACAAGCCACTGAAGCTGTGATTCCTCCCCCGAGCTCTCCTCTTAACGGGGTGCTAACTTCAAAGGTTACTTTTGACCATCGAAATACCAACTGTATTAAACAAGCTGTCAAAATGGAAGCAATGAGTTTGATTTGCTGGAATTGAATTATAAGCAGCTGGCTTCACTTCTAACTGAGGATCTAATGGTAAAAAAAAAAAAAAAAAAGCAACAGACCAAAACAAAATTCCAAACTAAATCCATCTGTCTGCTTCTACTCAATGAAAGTTAAATAGTAAGTGTGTCACTTTGAAGCCCAGATGAAAGTTTCACTGTTACAGAGAATGTGCAACCTGTACAAACACACTTTTACAAAGGCAGAAGTCTTCCTACAGGAGGAAAAAATAAATCTCTCTACAGGTTTCCTCTTCCTCTGTGCCTGTTTTAATTCTTCCCAATCACAAAATATGACGCAAAATCACAACCGCGTGCGCAGATGGATGGTTAATATGCAGCTCCTGTTGTTCTGAGGAGGTTGCTGTTTGACTTATGTCTTTCCAGCTGAGTCATGAACTATGCTGTTGTACATTTCTTTGTCTCAGTGCACCAGGCAAGGAGGCTGCAGTTCAGAGCAGCTATCTCTGGCAGCGAGGAAACACAAAAGCAGGGATTTAGAGTGCGTAGCGGGGCAGTGCTGAGCTGGTGCATGTTTCTGCAACAATGAAGAGCCATGGCGGGCCTCTGCCCCGGCACGGCCGCCCTCAGCCAGCACCCCCTCTCCTACCAATCACCTGGTAGGCAGTTCACATGTCTATAAGAAGGCACAGAGGACAATATAGATAAGGCACTACAAGAATTTAAGGCGATCGGGTGGAAATAATTTCTCCTCAAATGCTGGTCCTTCAAAATTCTCAAGA